TCAACGTTCAGATGAACGGGCAGTCTGAGTCTCACTGGGAAGCTAAACACACCGTGACTGTCTGCTCATACAATAAAGGATATGAAAGTCAAGGTCAGTTCATACTACACACCTCTTCGACGGTTTCTTCAACGCGATCACCAGCTGGGGTCTGATGTTGCGCTGTTAAGCTAGTCAATCCAGGTCGAACTTTTCTGTCATAGGGTTGTCCCATTGTTTATGAGCTCACCTTCTTCCACAACTGTGAGCTGGTCGGGACATTTGTGACGATGGTGTGACGAGACGTGTTTGTCTTGGCTGGTGGACCGGACTTGCCGGTCATGCCATGTGCACGTGATGGACGCGTCTGAGTTCGCGACGCCACCTGGGACTCTGCTGGTTGTGGCCAGCCGTCGTCCTCAACTTGTCGTCCAACCACCGACGCATTCCAGACGACGCCCGACGGTGAGTCCGCCATTCCCGACGCTGCCCGACGCTCTCTTGGAAGTTTTCATCTGGGGCTGAACATTCACCCATGACAGCTGCAATTCTCACTCTCAGCCCACCGCACACTCTACTCTGAACAATGCGCATCCTCTACTACCCAACGCAGCCAGACATGCCCAGTCTCTCCGTCGCACACCCTCCAACGCGTCCAGGGCTCGTCAGACAGCCTCGTCTCGAACCACAATCACATGACACAGACAACGACGACGACCACTGGATGGACGACCTCGAGCAGCACATCGTCAGCTCACTTCAAGCTGAAGTCGACAACGACGAGGGGATGGACGTCGTCGACATCAAGCCCTCCGTTCCAACTCACACAGAATCCATTCCTGTATTCTCACCGCCATCACCGCCACCGCCCTCCCCGGAGCTTGCGGCGGAAGAAGCGGACGACGAGGAAGAGGAAGATGACGACGACGAAGACATGGTCGACGCATACTGTCCCTCTCAAACATCTTCGCCGACCCACCACCACGGCTACTCCCGCAGTGCCCTCCACAACCTCAAAGAATTCTGGAGTTGCAGACACGACGAATGGGTCAAGCTCAACGCCTACACCACCCGCACCTCCTCAAGAGCCTACGACGGCATTGTCCGTCCCAGCCTCAAACTCGACATCTCCACATTCAACAACACTCCCAACGAAACATCCGCCTCGCCCTCTCCATCACCCTCACCGTCCTCACCAGACCCGAACTCACCTATATTCCCTCGCTCAGGCGAGCTCGCAAGGCTCCGCGACCCGCGCCCCGCCCTCGTCGACCGCGCATTCTCCCACATCCCGCTCTACTCCATCTCCAAAATCGTCTTCGCGCACGAGATCGCCCGCGCGCGGTCTCCGAGCTCTGCGTCGTCATCTTCCGAAGACGCAGACGTCAGCGTGTACAGCGACGACAGCACCCTCGTTGACGAAGAGACTTCCTCTTCGGCACAGGCAGGAACCGCAAAGAAAGGCGTGCCGCCGAGTCCGCCCGTGGATTGGTACGAACGCTGGAAACTCGTCGCGTCCAAACTCCACCCCGAATCCCCCGTATCCTTCGACCCTCCTCCCACTGCGTTCTCCTGGGCAGATGAAGTCGCACGTGCTTCTGGGGAAAGACCAAAATCCCCGAAAGCGCGGAAGTTCTTCTTCGCGTTGGACGAGGATGATTTTTCGGATAGGGAGTTTGATGAGGAAGAGGAGGAGGATTATGGCATTGAGCTTGCAAGGTCGAGGTCGAGTTTTAGCGTCGGCGTTGGTGTCGGGGTGGGCGTGCCAGAAGGAGATTATGGATGGGGAAGGGAGTACGTGAGTGATTTCGAGATGCTTTTCTGAGGCCCGGGGTTTTTTTTTTGGCGTTATCTCTTTTCTCTTATTCTGGGTGGGGCTTTTTGGGACGTTTCTGCTTCACGACCGATTGTACGACCACACACATCTTTACCGCACCGCACACGCATCACCGCATACATGGACACCATTATTCCATTCATCCGTCTTCCCATCCTACCCATCCCTCCCCCGCATTATTAGCCTACCTACAACATAGTATAGTATCACCACCCCATGCATCATTCATCGTACATCACCTCAGACTACGTAGGTATCCTATTCACTATAATCTCTGTCATTGTAACAGTAAACACCCCATCCGTTCAAGTTTTTACAGTCTGCGAGAACCATTGCAAGCTGGGCGTACATTTGAACCCTAAGAGATACATACAATATAATACATACAAGGAAATTATCGAGTTCTGTACAGTTGATATAATCGATATCGTATCGTATACTACAGGTTCCGAGTCGAAACACAGAACGGAACGCGAGCTAGGGAAAAGTTACAACCACAACCAGAGGGCAGAATTGGCCCACCCACCCCATGTCCGGAACGCATCATCATACCTCCAAAAGACGGCCGTCGAGACCGCTGAGGAGGACCGAACAAAAAAAGGCGGGGATCAGGTCCGAATAACAACAAGCACACACCAAAAAAGAATCCAAAGCTGAGCGCAAGACTCGAACTCGAGAGAAGGGGGAAAAAAAGAAATGTCCTGTCCGTAGAGTGTCTAAAGTGGCAGACTGGGGTGGTGACTCGGGAGAGAAGCGTCTGGGGGGTCATCGACAACACTAGTAGCGGCGGCGGCGGAGGGGCGAGCAAAAACAAGGCCAGCTGAAAGTTGGGACTTGAGCTTTTGTGGCGAAAGGGCGCCAGAGCCAGAGCCAGAGTGGAGGGAGGGGGGGCGTTGAAGTGAGTGAGGTGAGTGTGGCTCTAGAAACGATCTACGGAGGGGGACACCGGGAAAAAAGAAATGAAGGTTAGGAGTGGAGTGTGGTGGTTGCAATTGTGAATGGGGGTGGGTGTGGTGTGGATCTAGAGGAACGGAGAACCGGATTCGAAGGTCAGCGAGAAGAAAAAAGTGCGTGGAGAAAACGAAAAACGCACAAGTTGGCACGTAACGTGGGTGTGGTGTCAGTTGTGTAGTGATGGGCGATACGCAGGTGGACCGTGGACGACCGCGGGTCGAGGGACCGGTATCGCAGGCAACGCCCTCGGCGACATGGGCGATCTGAAGCTCGAGCTTGGAGACGGCACCATTCTAGCCATCCCCAGTGCCTCCAGATTCAGCCTGGGGACGACCAACGAGGACGGTCTTCCGTTCTCAGACTTTGGGACGGCGGACACGCGGCACGACGCAGGGTAACTAGGCGGTGGACTGTCCCCCTCCGGCGGTGTCGCATCGCTCAGGCTCGGTTTGTCGTCCTCGTCCTCGTCTCCTTCGACCGCGTGCACGTCGGATGTGCGCGATAGGGAGTCAAGCACGATGGTGGTCGTGGACAGCGGCCGTGACGAAGGGGAGTGACTGGGACTGGACTCCGTGTCTGGGAAGACGGAGTGGCGGCTCCAGCGCGCAGGGTACGCGGGATATGGCACGGCTGTGCGTCTCCACCCGGCGTTACTCCATCTCACAGGCAACCGTGAGCACGACTTTGAGGAAGCATCTAAGGTGACAACCGGACTTTTCAGTTCTCCTCCTTATTTTGGGCGGGAGGTGACAGTCACGGGATAGAGATGGAGGAATGTCAGGAGGACGTACCATCGCCGCTCGATGATGATCTGCTCATCAGCCTCGCCAACCTCCAATGTACGACGGTGACCCACACCACAATAGCAAGCATCATCGCCGCCAATCCCGCCCCGATCCCTACAGCCTGCGCGACGCTCAACTGCCTCGACACCTGAACTTGAATCAAACATTCCTGCGTCCCAGGCGGAACAGTGACCCTCATGCCCTCAAACGCCGTGGGTCCCACGACGATCGTCTTCGTCTGCGTCGCACCGGCACCGGAACCGGGCACGATCGGAAGAGATGTTGAATAGACATAGCGATCAAAGGTAAAGGTAGTCTGTGCAGAATGTGCGGGTAACGAGGGGCTAGAGGTGGGGGGGACAGTGACGGAACCGCGCGAAGCAGCAGCAGCAGTGTCAAGCGTCACCGGTATGGGCATGTGTACGGCAAAAGTCGGTCCCAACAGACGAACCCTGCCCCCCTCCAATGGGATCGGACTTCCGCAGAGTAGTTATCCGCACGACGCCTCCGTCAACCGCGGATGCTTGGGCATTCCTGAATGAAGAACGAGGACACGGATTGGGAAGAAGCTGAATACATGATGTGGAACCCGGATGTCCCTGTCCCACATACGTTGGGTTTTGGGAAGTGGGGTTCCGCACTGCGAATCACAGATGAACCTCAATGTTCAGCCATGCGGTGCCAATTATCGAACTAGGTGGAGGGGGTGCTGACGGATCGGAGAGGACGGGTTGTCTCCGGGTCCTTGGGGATCTGTACTGTGTTTGCAGCTTGGTAGCCCTCGGAGAACAGAACACCCGGAGAGACATTGAGACGGGCCGGTCATCTAAATGTACGAGAACTAAGCAGAAGAAACATGCAAATGCTAGTACCCCAAGCGTACCTTTTTGGAACCCCGAGACCGTGGCGCACAGAAGACAAAAGCCATCTGCCAGTGGGGAGGGGGTTTACACGGTACCCGGTCGTCAATCATCACTGAAGAGGTTTGTGCAGTATATAGGCATATTGGTCCTCGCAAAACGAAGGAGCCAGCCTTTATAACCTTCGCAGTTGCACATGGAACGACTCGGGATTAGATGCTAGGCACCACCACAAGAGAGGGATCCTTGGATTTGGATTACAGTTATGACTGCGAAGACGGTGATTACCCCCCTGGACGGGTCCTTGATTGTTCCTTGGGTCCTAGAATTGATTGTCAGTGGTTCCTGGAATCTCAAAGAAGCATCCTGTCTCAATAGCAGTACAAGTATGCTGTTGGTGCTTGTTGAACGTGGAAGCATATACCACATTCAGACCCGTCACCAGCGCCACGCTCCCACACCAGCGTCTAACATACTCCTCATTCCACAACACTCCTCTCCAGCCCGTTTCTAAGTCTTTGCCCTGAGATCATCAGAAAGAACACAAAGCATGAACTAACCAATTCAAAAAAGACACAAAAAAGCTGACCCCTACCCGACTTGAACGGATGACCTTGAGGATGTACCACGTGATCTACCTAAGGCAAATCACATCGGACTGGAATCTCACGCGCTACCACTGCGCCAAGAGGTCGTTGGAGGCTATGCGTTCTGGTATGAACTTCAGCGTTTTCCCAGGAAATAGAGCTCAGCTCTTCCGAGTTCGAGTTCATTGGCAACCCTTCTTCCACCCACACCGCTCTCACTGGTCGTTCTGCAAGTCGCTCTGGCATCATATTTCCGGTCTTTGAACCTGGGTTCAGCTCGAACTTTCCGTTCCCTTTTAATTGGCTTTGGCATCGGTAACGCAAACCTTGAAAACCTCTTTTGCTGCCTCGGAGTAGCCAGTCCCGGTACCAACCCAGAGCGCCGTCCCGTTCGCGATGTTTCCCTTTCGATGTCCGTCAGCCTTGGCGCTCGTCACTAGACCAGCTGCCAGTGCATAAGCTGAAGTGACGACTCGTCCGGGGAGCACTGGCACTGACAGGTCTCCTCAACTCACATGAACCTTCTAATTGGCAGTGAAACCATTGAGTTGGAACATTGCACCTCGGTACGCAAATCGAATGATCACCCCGTCACACGCTGTATGAGAGCAATGGACTTCTCTACTCCGACCACTAGGAGGCTGTAATTGTGTACCTTCTGAAGGGGAGGCTCAGCGTGTATATCAGCATGTCAGTCTCTGTCATTGGAGCTTCGGCCTTGGTACCCACGCCGCCTTTGTGCGGTCGTCAGGTGTAGCTCGTCCACCGACTTACCCAACGAGAAACAACTTGAAGGATGAAGTGTTCCGGGCCAGCGTCACGCAGGTCGTTGAGAAAGCGAAGAACAAGTGAAGAACAGTTCCATAACGATCAATTGCAAACACTACTAGGTAAGAATGTAACAAGCTAAAATACACAACAGATTATGCGATTACAAAATGTAGACGGGGGTTGTAGGTTTACACAACAAAGGGGGCGTGATACAAGACGTGAATGATCATCATCATAAGAACGTTGTGAGGGTTAGAAAGAAGACAAAGAGTCTGTTTTACATCGCGTCATCTCTTCGTGTGCGTTTCGTCATTAAACAATCGTAAATCTAGAAAGCGACATCGATCAGCATCCCGCATGGCCAAAAGATTGTATAGCGAGAACTTACGCGTCACTCCTCCACTCGTCGCCCTTTTTCGCGGTCTCGGCTCTCTCCTCAGCACGGTTGATCCATCCAGAGGGATGTCCCTGCTGGATGATGACGCTGTCGCGCTTCGAAACGACCTTGAACTGGGCGTGTCTATCCTCGGCCTTGGACTTGACGCTCTCGGCCTCCTCCTTCTTGCGTTGGAACATCTAAACGGAACGCGCGTCAGCACGAGCCACAGCATGGGTATTGCATGGTGCTGCATACCTCTTTGAGGACCTGAGTCCTACTCTCGCCTTCAGTAACCTTCGCCTCCTTCATCCTGTCTCTAACGCCAACAAGCTGTCCATCAACATACTCCAATCCAGTCTTGATAGCACCTTCGATAGCTTTCTGCAACTGCTTCTTGACTAGACCAGTCGCGAGTGGGCGCAAGGTCTTGTACAACAAGTCGTGCTTGGAGTCACGAATGGAGAACTTGAGGGTATCAACCTTGACGTTGACGTTCTCGACGGTGAAGATGGAAGTCGGGTCGTCCTTGCCGGGCTTCGATGTGGAACGGACATGGGCGGTGATGGTGAGACCGGAGCCACCGAGGAGGACGTCGGCAAGACCAGAGTCGGAGAGCTTGGGCATGCCGGTCTTCTTGCGGAAGTAGAAGGCAACGTCCTTCATGTCCGCCTGAATCTGACCCAGGGTGATGGTGAACTCGTGAGAGGTCTCATCCCTAATACATATGGGTCAGTGAGTATGAAGAGATGATCAAACAAATGCGCGTACTTGATAGCGTTGTATGGGCTGAACTTGACGAAGTTGTGGGCCTCGATGGAAACGATGTTGGGGAACAGATTCTTGCCTGACAATGCCAGGTTCTCGATGACAATGTCCATCGCGTCGTCGGTGTACTCGATACGAGGGATGGGGACGTAGCCAACCTGCGAGTAATCGTAAATGTGAGTCCGATAGTAGGTCGTGGAAGACGCACCTGTTCAATGAGACTGGGGAGGATGACCTTTCTGATGTCCATCCACAAGTCACTCTTGAAGGTAAGACGGCCCTCGTCGTCGAAGAGCAGGTCCTTCGTCAGCCTGGCCCAGTCCTCGCCGAATCTCTTGTTGAGGGGATCGTCGCCCATGGCGCGGAACCAATCAGCAGCCGAATTGAAGAGGTTGTCGAAGTGGGTCTTGTACTTGTCGTCGTAGAAACTACGTCCAGACTCGCGCAGACGATTGGCCTCGTTGTTGCAGTCGGGCTCGAGGACATAGCCGGGCTCGAGAAGGACTTTGCGGATGTAGGTGTCGACGGATCTGAACCATTGGCGGAGCTCCTCGTCACGCTGGGCGTCGTCGTAGAGAACACGAATAGCATCGCCGATAACACCTGTAGCGCATATAGTCAGTATATGAACTCGGATATGAGGGCAGCATGACGTACCCAAAGACATTCCGTTAGCAAACCGTTCGAGCAATGTCCTCAACTCGGACGTTGCCTGGTTAAGAGAATTGTCGGATGTGAGTTGCTGATGGGAGTCCTTGCCATGGCCGATGACGGTTTTGCCGTGACTGGCATACTCCTCCAAGTAGCTCAACAACCAACGGATGCTCTCTTGATAGTCCTTGTGCTTCTGACATTCGACGATAACCTAGGTCAAAGAGTTAAATATCGACCTACAGAGCACATCACGTTCAATCAACTGACCTTCTTTCCTCGGTAGATGAACTGATCTCTTCTTTCCTCCGGGAAGTACTCTTCGGTGAAGAACTTCTTCGCACGTTCAGTTTGGTCGTTGGCACGATCCTTGTGCTCCTGAGGGACGCGATCGGTGAATTGATCCTATGGTGAAAGTGTGAGAGGTTGGCGCAGAGTGGAGATACGAAAAACTTACCCGCAGACCCCTAAGTTTGCCCTTGAGACCTTGCTTCTTGACCTCTGCGTCCTCACGGTCGCTCGGGACGGGATCTCCGTCGACAACATCGTTTACATCTTCCTTCTGCCTCTGCAGCTCATCCTGTTCGCAGCGTCAGTCAGTATTCCCGCTTTTGAAGGGGCCGGACACGTACAGAAGCCTTCATTCTCATCTCTTGTGCGGTGTTTGTGACATCCTGCTGGGCTTGGGCACCGCTCTGAACGGTTCCATCGCCGCGATGGACTGTGGCGCCAGTTCCAAACTCTTCCTTGGGGTGTTGCTTGACGGTTGTGTTGCTGCCGGGAATGCGGGCCTCAAGAACCTGGGCATAAAAAGTAAACGACGGGTGATGGATGAAAGGGGAGCTCATACGCACGGGTGTCTCGTCGGGACCAGCGTGGCGACCGCCCTCGGTGACAAAGACGTCGTTGGGGGCACTGTGGTCTACGCGTTGGAGCCGCTCCTCGTCTGGACGAGCGGCGTCAGCGACCTTGGCTGCTCCGCGAGCAAGCAAGTCGCGGCCGATGACGGAAAAGTCGCTGAGAAGTTTGCGGACCTCTGCGTTGGTGAGGACGAGAGATAGGAGTGTCCGGAGGTGGCCAACGGCCTGCTGACCGTCGCTCTTTGCCTTCTCGGCGTCGACGGGGGCAATCTCGTTGGGGTCCTTCTTGGCCTTGTCGAAGTCGGTGTCGCGGGTATGCCAGATGAAGTTCTGGAAGAGCTCGTCGCGGTTCTTCTCCTGGACCATGAGACGGGCGGTCTCGATGATGTCACGGGAGTCCTGGACGAGTTTCTGGCCGTCGTGTGAGAGCTGAGTCTCTGGGACGGGGGAGTGTTTGAGGACGTAGTTGAGTGTCCTGTCTATCTGTTCGTTTGTGGGCATGCGGGACTGCTTGAAAGCGTTGATGACGCCATAGAGACGGAGCTTGCGGTCGACGTCTGCAGCCTGGTTCTGCTTATTGATGGGCTCGGTGACGGAGCCCTTCGCGGGGTGGTCGGAGATGTCTTTGGCGGCGTTGGGGAGCGACATGGTGGTGGTAGGAAGGAGGAAGAGGGGAGTTTAGTGTGGAAAGCAGCGGAGAGAGGGACTATAAGAGAGAAAGGAGGGGTCGACGTCATGTCAGGAGATGATGTCACCAGAGAGCTCCACTGAGGGTTCTGTGGCAATCGCTGTTCCAGGGAGTTCGAGGAGTTCGTCAACAGTCAAACACGCTCGTCACTCCACCGCTGCCCATCCCTCGCAGTGACGTCCGCTGGCCCCGGTGTCTCCCACCTCGACTAGCGACAGTCTGGTTCCTTCATCTCTCGGTCCCGCTTCAGCAACAGCAACACCTCCGGTGGCGTTGTGGAGACACGTCCGTCACCGAGCACGTGCATGTGACCGTGACAGATAGGATAACATCTTATCTCTCTTCCGTCCATCCGACACATCCGCGTCAGAATGCATAGCCACTTCAACTTCTTATAATTCTCATCGCGCAGGAATCCTCACGCTCCTCCCCCTCCATGTCCTCGCCATCATCAAGTCCCGTCCCTTCAATCAAACTACCATGTGTGTTCTCGCGCCTGTTACTGCTGTATTCTTTCACTTACAACTCACCGAGGAGTTGGTTTCAAAACTTAAGAGGAAGGTCGAACCTTGTGCTTTGCCAATCATCTCTCTGGCGGTGGAACGCAACCCAGCCAACTGATCGGGAAGTTTGTCATAATCCACCCAATCGTCCTGTCGAAGAGCACTGAGAAGAATGGAGATGAGGCTGAGGTGCTGTTTGAGATCAGGCCGAGCAACGGTTGGCACGGAGCTGCCAGGCACCGGAATGGCGTCCGGAACGATTGTGGGAGCGGGGAGTATAAGTCTCCGACTGCTGTACTGCACAGGCTGGCGATTTGAATGAGGCTCGGCAGGCGGAGGGCGCTTATGGCCATACTGGGCAAGTTTCTCCAGGTCAAGGCTTTGGTAATGATTCTTGCAAACTTCCATGAGTTGATTGATGATGTCGCCTAACTTGGACGGTTGCTTCAGATCGATTGGTGCTATACCGGCTCGCATCTTTTTGAATTTA